TCTCAGCTCACTGCAACCTGTCTCCCAGGTTCAAGCAATTCTCCTGCCTCAGTCTGCCGAGTAGTTGGGATTACAGGCACCCGTCACCACGCCCAACTACTTTTTGTTTTTTGGTATTTTTAGTAGAGACAGGGTTTCACTGTGTTGGCCAGGCTGGTCTCAAACTCGTGACCTCAAGTGATCTGCCTGCCTCAGCCTCCCAAAGTGCTGGGATTACAGGCATGAGCCACCATGCCTGGCTCAGAGTTTCGTTTTTATCCAGGTATAGCCTCTATCAAATGCAGAAGCTAAGGTGCAATTCAAGTGGCAAAACTGCCACGACTAGCTCTGCCGTCTACTGCTTGGTAAACACACTCTCCTCTGTCCCAATCCCTTCAGAAAAGACTCCCAGCTGGGCGTGGTGACTCACACCTGTAATCCCAGCACTCTGGGAGGCTGAGGTGGGTGGATCACCTGAGGTCGGGAGTTCAAGACCAGCCTGACCAACATGGAGAAACCTCGTTTCTACTAAAAATACAAAAATTAGCCAGGCGTGGTGGCGCACGCCTGTAATCCTAGCTACTCGGGAGGCTGAGGCAGGAGAATCGCTTGAACCCGGGAGGTGGAGGTTGTGGTGAGCCGAGATTGTGCCACTGCACTCTAGCCTGGGCAATAAGAGTGAAACTCCGTCTTAAAATAAATAAATTAATTCATTCATTAATTAAAAAAAATGAAAAGACTCCCTCCACCTCCTGTTGTGGCTGGGATCTGGCTCCTCCCACTCCAAGGATGTAGCTTTTATAGCGGGGAAGCTTGTTCATCCTCTCACGGCCTGAATTCACTGGTGAAGCGAGAGCTATGGTCAGCAAGGCCCTGGCTCCCAGAACTCCTGGCTGGACTGCCCGCCCTTCTCTGCCTCCCTGGCTCCACGCACATTCCCTGCTCAGCCCTGGGCATGTGACATAGGGGCCATGTCTGGGTCTGTCTGAACCACCAGGGCACCATCTCCATCCATTCATCCTTTCCACAGACACTGACACTGAGGGCCTGCGCTGGCCCAGCCTGTGCTAGGGGCTGGGGGAAACAGTTGGCAAATAAAACCTGGCTCCTGCTTTCATGGTGTTGACCACCCCATCTTTCTTGCATCAAAAACCCCAGGCCAGGCCAGGCTGGGTGCGGTATGGTGGCTCACACCTGTAATCCCAGAACTTTGGGAGGCCAAGGTGGGCGGATCATTTGAGGTCAGAAGTTCAAGACCAGCCTGACAAACATGGTGAAGCGCTGGATAAATTCCTTGGGAATCCACTTTGGCTTGAGTCGGGGTTCCTTTTTTTTCTTTTTTTTTTTGAAGACGGAGTCTCGCTCCTGTACCAACCCCAGGCTGGGAGTACAGTGACCGATCTCAGCTCCACTGCAAGCTCCGCCTCCGGGTTTACGCCCATCTCCTGCCCTCAGCCCCCGATAGCTGGCTACAGCGCCCGCCACCACACCCGGCCTAGTTTTTTGTATTTTTAGTAGAGATGGGGGTTTTACCTGTTAGGCCAGGGATCGCTCGTCTCCTGACTCATGATCCCGCCTGTCTTGGCCTCCCAAAGTGCTGGGATTACAGGCTTGAGCCACCGCCGCCCGGCCTTTTTTTCTCTTTTTTTAAAGAGACAAAGCTCCACTCTGTTGCCAGGCTGGAGTGTAGTGGTGAAAATCATAGTTCATTGTAGCCTCCAACTCCGGGGCTCAAGTGATCCTCCTACCTCAGCCTCCCAAGCACCTGGGACTACAGGTACATGGCACTACAACCCAGTTAATTAAAAAAAAAATTTTTTTTTTTTTTTTAGAGATGGGGTCTCGCTGTGTTGCCCGGGCTGTTCTGGAACTCCTGGGTTAAAAGTGGTCCTTCCTGCTCGGTATCTCCAAAGTGCTGGGATTACAGACATTGAGCCATCACATCTGGCCTGGTTTTGTTTGTTTGGAGACAGAGTCTCACTCTGTCCCCCAGGTTGGAGTGCAGTGGGCACCATCTCGGCTCACTGCCTCCCACTTCCCAGGTTCAAGCGATTCTCCTGCCTCAGCTCCTGGAGTAGCTGGGGTTACAGGCGCCCGCCACCACATCTAGCAATTTTGGTATTTGTAGTAGAGATGGGGA